ATGTGGGGATCCTTTCAGGCTAGGTGCGGGTCGCCTCCGCCGGTGGGGGGTGTGGGTGAGGGTCAGATCCCCTAGGTTGATGGCGGCCCTGGGTGGCGCGAGGGGGCGCGTGCGCGTGTGAGCGCACCGCACATCAAGATGCGGTCCATGTAGATCCGAAGGAGGCCATCGCAGCTCAGCCAAGTGGGAATCGTAGCTGTGCCTGTGGCTCTGCTGGTAATTCGTTCCCGAAGGGCTGCCTGTGGCTCTCGTAGCTCGAGCAGCGGCCCACGCACCCCAGCCGGCGGCGCTCGTAGCTCAGCTGGTGGGTTGTCGTTGCCAGGCTGGTACCTTTCGCAGGCGGTCGTCGACCACGTTCTGGTGGTCATAGTGGTCGTACTGGAGGTCGTACTGGTCACACAGGGCGTAGTTGTAGTCGGCATATGTAAGTGGCCCAGCCGTGGTCCACAAGTAGCTCCACGACGATGTACTCAATAACCCCTTCGGGCTGTCCTGTCGTGTCGTGCCTGGTGCCACACCTGGTGATGTCGTACTTTGTGTCGTACTTGGCGCCGTGTTTTATGCCGCACTTGCTGTCGTACCTAGGCGCCCTCGCGAAGGCAGCCGTGGCCATGAGAATGAGATTGCCGGGCCGGCACGTTATTGGGCCACGTCTGCTGGCGTTCGTGCTGCCCTCCCCCGTCTCTTCGCTGGCTCCGCCCTTCGCGCGGCAGGTCCCGGCAGGTCTCTGCCCATCCGCTGGGCCCCTGGACGGTCACCCGGGACTCCTTGGTTGCCCCGTCGTCGCTTCGCTCAACGGCCGGCCCCGGGCCACCGCCGCCTTCCTGGCCCCGCCGCCGTGGCACTGCTGGGTGGAGCCGCTGCTGCGCCCCCGCTGCCCTCCCCTCCCCTCCCCTCCCCTCCTGATGGGATCCGTCCCCCCCAGTGGGCCCAACCCGCCTATGGAGGCGACCAGCTGGCAGCACCGCCCGCCCCCCTCCAGCCCGCCCGGCGCCCTGCCTGCTGCGCCGCCGCCGCCTCCCGGCCCTGCTGCACGAGGAAGCATCGTCGGCCCGGCCCCGCTCTTCCAGACGCTGCACCTCCGGCTCGCGCACCTGCGCCATCTGCCCCGCCCCTCGGGTGTGGCCGCCACGCCGCCCCGCGCCAGCACCGGCTGGCCGTCCCGGCCGCTCCGCGGCGGCCTCCGCCGCGTGGGCGCTCTCCCCCCCTTGCCCCGCCCCGTACGGCCGCTCCCTCCCTCTTTTGCACGCCCGAAATGGGTACAGAAAGAATGGATACAATGCCCAACAACAAATGCTGTCCCAAACCAACAGCGGCCGCTGTTGGGCAGGCGGCCTTCTGACTCGAATGGACACATAGGCCGCGGCGGCGTGGACAGCGAATCCTGTTCAAAATGAACAAGAACTGCTGTTGGGCATTGTGCCCATTCTTTCCGTACCCATTTCGGGCGTCCAGATCCCTCTGTTCTTCTGCTCTTGCCGCCGGACACTTTGGGCGCTGCCCGCCCCCCCTGGCCACTCGAGCTCGCGTGCGGAATGCCGCTGCCGTGCGCCGCAAAAAAAGTTGCGCCCGTGCTCATATATTCGTGTATGGTCTCGGCATGCTTGCCGGTGGGCCTCTAGCCATGTGGGTATGTCTCGTAGCCCTTAGCTGATGTTCAAAACGCCCGCTATGTAGTTCAACAACTGGTGGTTGATGGTGTCCTGCTGGTGGAATCTTTTCTAGTCGCCGTTGATCGCCTTTCTCGTGGTACGCATGCCGCCCACTTCCGATGGCGCGGCGGCGGGTTTAGGCGGGCTCCGCCGAAGGCGGCCGCGCGGGCGGGGCGCGGCGTTGGAGGCGAGCAGAGAGCGTATATATATATATATATATATATATATATATGTATAGAGAGAGGGGGAGAGAGAGAGAGAGAGAGAGAGTTCCCGCAAACGGCCTTCCTCCTTTTCCTCCTCATCCTCCTCCTCCCCGTCCTCCTCCTATTTCTCCTCGTCCTCCTCCTCCTTCGCCTTTCCTCCACCTCCTCATCATCACCATCCCCCTCCTGCCCCTACCCCTACTCCTACTCTTTTTCCCACTCCGCCTCCCCCCCTCGAAGGCCTGAAGTCGCTCTGGTCCTCGCTTTGCTCCCCCGGCTCCTCCCGCAGGCTGCTGGAGAACTGGGACAACTCGCCCCTCTCGTGCTTGATCGACAGGCGCGGTGCGTCCGCGGAGCCTACGAGCGCGGTCGGCGTCGCCGCCGCCGCTCTCGCTCATTGAGCCACGAACCTCCACGACAACGATGACGACATCGTCGTCGTCGTCGTCACCAGCAGCGGCATCCTCGCCGGCGGCGGCGTCGAGGTTCGAGGCTGAGAGACCTCTGGAAGTTTATGCGTGTACACTTCTCTCCTCTGTCCATGCCTATCTATCCGTTTCTGTCTGTCACACCTGCTGTACCCTCCATCCTACCATCTTTCCTCAGCGCCGAAACCCTATGATCTCTCCTGGAACGCGCTCTGATCAGGATATTTAAGCGAGACCCGGGGCGCCGACGAAGAACCCCCCAGAGGCATCAACAAAACGGACACGTCAAAACCCTCCTTCACCCCTCGGACACCCGACGTCGTGGATAGTTTTGCGACGTGGACCCCTGGAATCCTGCACCCCGCCCTCGGGGCCCGCGCTCTATCCCGAATCGCTCTTGACAGCCCCCGGGCCAGGGAAGCGGCCTTCCAGCGGTCGAGGACGTCGAACAAAAACATGTTTTGGTCTGCGGGTCGGGAGCGGGCCCCTTCCGGTCAAGATCTAAACGGGACGCGGGTAGCCCTAATTGGGGAGACAGGGCGCGGGCGGGCGGGGCCTCAGGCGGCCAGAGGGCTCAGAAAACAGGCGGCGCCGAAGATCTTGCACAGGACAAGGTGCGCCATGGACTTGAGCAGGGGGCGCGGTCCCACAGGGAAAGTGGATTGGTGAATGTCGAACAAAATCATGCCGTGACGTTTTGTGTGCCATGCACCCCCCCCCCCCTGCCCCCAGACATCCGGCGATGCGATGCTGGCCCGTGCGCGGCCCCGGGAAATCCCGACAGTTTCCCCGCGTGGGCGCCTGCCGTCCCGGATTCCGTGTCCGATGGCCCTGGGCCCCGGCGACGGGCTTTCGGTGGCCGTTCCATCCAATCCTGGCACCAACATGAAGGGGACCCAGGACACACACAAACAAAGACACACAAATAAGAAGATTCCCCATGCTTTCCCATATTTTCTGGGCTTCTGTCTTCCCTCCCACTTCCCCTATTTTCCAATATTTTCTGGGGAGTCGACGATTAATTGTGTCTGCGTGTTTCTTTCCCTCCTGACACCAGGACTGCTGCTTATCTTACTCCGCCGTGGCGTCCGTGGCGGCGGGGGGGGGTGTCCTGCCGCCGTGTGGGGGAGTGAAACGGTAGCGTGGCGGGCTTGGGCGTGGCACCAGCATGCGACAATCAAAGTAGGACACTCGACAGTGGTGGGAGCAGTCGACATCAGGTAGTAGCTGCGATGGTCGTAATTAGCAATACGACCATCAAAATCCATATGAAGGACGCGCGGCAAGGACGCAAGCCCCTTGGAAGCCGAAGTTGGGACACTTTGAGCGGCAGGCGGCCGTAACCCCAGGGACGCAAGGGGACACGTCGGTCGGAAGAAGTACGTAAAAACATGAAGTAGGAAGGCGGATTCAGTGGATTGGGTCCAGGCCCTCCCGGAGAACAACAAGACACAGCAAAAGCACATCGATTCTTGCAGTAGGAAGGCGCTTGAAGCAGACTGGGATCTGGGGATCCAAGAATACCTACTTTCAACGACTGGCGGGTACCCTGACCCGCTCCCGTCCTTGCCGGCTTGGCGCCGGCGCCCAACGCAAACGCAACGCCACGCCCGCTCGCGAGCGGAGGCAGCGAGGGGAGGCGCCGCCGCCGCGCGCCCTTTCGGACGGCCAGGCGAGCCGTGCTGGCCAACGTCCTCAGGGCCACGCCCGCGCGCAGAGTGAACGACGGGCGAGGGCGAGGGCGACGCGCAGAAGGAGGGCCAAGGGTTAAGTCGGGCCTGTCCCCCTACAGGGGGAGTTTCGACGAAAAGTGAAAAGTGCCCCAACAATATTCAAGAAATAGTCCAAAATAGTCTGGTGACCATTTTTGGTATATGTTTTGACCTTTTTGGAATATTTGTTCGTGGTATTTTGTATTTTTCGCCAGACAAGGGGGACACGCCCGACACAAGCCAAGGGTACCCAGGGA